TTGGTACATCAGGACGACTTACTGAGTTACCAGAGGTGAATCTAAATGAGACTGAGGGAATGCCAGAGAAGGCCAGGAAAGGATATGCAGCGTTATCCAACTTCAGAGGCTCCAACCTGGAAAATAAACAATGAAAAAGAAGATTAAGTGGTGAACATTTGCTAAACGTGAGTATGATGGCTAGCCCACACATTCCAGTTGTGAATGTGATCCTGAGAAAATTTTGGTTGTCATGGAGATGTATAAACACTGAGACTGTGGATGGGAATGCAACAGCCTGGTCAGACTTACACATCTGATTCCCAGTTGCCCTTTCCAAATTGAGTAAAGAGAGACTGATCCTTGCCGAAGTTCAACTGAGGACAAAGCAAGTGTATTTATTATATTAGCATTTGAAAAATTTAGAAAACAAATGAATGAATTGTATTGAATTGCTGTGGGTTTACCTCTTTCAGAGTGTTCTCGATCAGGCCGTGCATCAAGGGACTGGCTGCTACTTTAAATCCACTACGACCTGGAGAAGAAGACTTACATTCAGTCAATCTGAAAATAAAATTGCGAGTTTAAAACTTTCCTATATTTACAGTATAACTGGTTGTTTTGGCCACTTGGGGACAACAGAAACAAGCAGTGAACATGACATTGCTCCACTATATTCACTAGCTGGTCCCTATCTGTGTCTATCTGCCCTTTGATATCAAGCAGGTAGTGTACAGTGGGGTTTTACACCTTTTTCACTCAAACAGCTGCCTGCAGCGGCCCAAAGTGACGCCATGAGAGCTTGGAGACTGAACCCAAAGATCAAAGTTGGGGGTTGACAGCTAAAAATTGAAACTAACTACAAAGCTGAGAGGAGCTGCACGTTGGAGTGATGGCTGTCACATTGTCATTTAACACATTGCTGTTCTATAAGTCAATATAAGTTATACATGTTGATCATCTAGATGTGGACAAGATGTCCAACATGTTTCTAACCGTAAATACCTGTTACAACACCGTCCAGGTTGATGTAGGAGAAGGCTTTCATGTTCAGAGAAGACAGATAACCCTAGACATGCAAAAAATTAAAAAAAATGAAGAGTACAAACACCAATCAGTTTCATTATTCCATTAAAGCTGCTCATCAAGAAAATGTTGTATTACAAAATTGCAATTCTCACCTCCAACCACTCGGTGGCGCCAACGCTCCCATATTCTCCAGCAGTCCAGCTAGCAAACACAATCGTCCTCCTTGGCTTGAATCCATCTGTTGAAATGGATAACAAATGCATATTAACAAAAAGAGCAGTGCCCTCACTAAATAGAAAATACTTC